TCCGTTAGGAAATTGTTTATTTCCTTTATGCAAAACTTATGGTGATTTAAGCTGGTAAACGCAAAAAGTAGGTGAAAAGCAACAACCATTCGTGCAGTTAACAACCTGAGTACTTCATGTCCGATACAAAAACGCATGATCGCACTGGCAAGCCTGATGCTTTCCAATTTGGGTTATTACATCTTTTACACTAGAAAGTGATTGAAAACTGTTACAGCTTGCTGATACTGAACATTCGTCTCCTCACTGATTTTGAGTATTTGCATATATACAAATGCAAAAACGCATATTGTGACGACCCTTGATGTATGCATATGTTTGTGTGTGTGTGTTTGTGTATGTGCATGTATGTGTGTGTTTGTGTATGTGCATGTGTGTGTGTGTGTGTGTGTGTGTGTGTCCGGGCATTTCAACTCAGCAAGTAAGCAAGCTCCAGCGCTGAAATTTTGACAGTGGATTCTCCAACCCAATGGGGCCCCGGGACTGCAATACCAACCTTCAGGCATATCTGGGCACCACACACGGGCCCGTGGAATTTTTTGGCGTATCGCGACCCTAACTGTTAATATTTTCAGGCTAGTCTTATGCCCTGTGTGTGTGTGTAAAACTCCTTGTCATATATATATTTATAACTACACAGAATATTAAAAGGTAATACAAAACAAGGTGGTGATGTTCTGAGGAGGCGGAGCTCCCCAGAGTAGGAGTAAAAGCTAATAAATAGGTCGAGAGTGGTTAATGGGTAGTGGCCATCCCAGCGATGAGGAGAAGTGCTTTTATATCCCAGGGGTCAGAGAATAATAAGATAGCAAAAGTTTGACGAGAGTAGGGTGTCCAAAATTTGAACCAGGTACAGGAGTATTGTGTCATAGTAAAGCAGTTGTTCTTTAACCTACTTTTAACAAAAACCATCAAACATTATTTGACATTCTCACAAACGAAAGATAGGGCCGTCCTCGGTCCAAAGTACAAAAAGAAAGAAACAACCATAGAACATTATTTGATCTATTACATGGCAGGCGAGAAAACTGTTAACTCGGTAACCAGGAATGCTGGAAAGCTGAAATTTCAACGGAATGTTCCTTGTTAAAGTACAATTTAATGATTTCAAATTCAGTCCCACGTATGCGTGATTCTCACATGCGGGTTCTTAAATGTTTTGGCAGGAAAATTGCTCACTGAAGAGCTAGTTCATTTTCGAGGAACGACAACTGAATGGAAATTGTTTATTTTTCTTTATTCAGAATTAACGATCATTTGCGCTTACTAGCGCAAATCATCGTTAATTCTGCATAAAGGAAAATAAAAAATTTTCATTTAACTGTCGTTATGTAAAGCAGCCATCAAGGTAAGTGTAAAGCAACCACTCATATAGTTTGCTTCAAGTTTAGTGCAGAAACGCATAGTCCATCCTAGAGTTTCATTATTGGCCTATTTTTTCTCTTGAAAGTTGTATCGCTTGTTTTGCAGCCACAATTTACTACAAGTAGAGCAGTAGTATTTAAAAATTTTGCTTTTATTCGAGATACTGCTTGTCTGTCTGAAATTGCACGAAGTTTGGTACATGCAGTCACTTCAAGCCACCCTTAATACTGCATGTCCCAGTTAAACACTTATGTCTCAAATTGTGAGCCATTCTTTTCTG